AAACTGTTTTTTTGAACAAAACCGTAATATTGGTCGCAGAGATCTGTGACGTAGACAGTTTCACTTCACATCATTGCATCTTTATTCTCATCAACACAGTAATACTCTCTGCTTTGTAGTGACTTATTGCAGCTGAAATTCCATCCGTGATACTCCTTTGTTCAAAAGCTTCTCTTCAGATGATCATATCTTTACTCCTATACCTAAAAACCTCTTTTCATTTCCCTAACCTTCCCCCTTTTTCTAAGTAATTTGTAGGAAACTCTATTCTGAGTTTCTCTTCCATTTCAAATTCTCCTTACAGTGTAGCATATGATTCATTAGAGAAAAAAAATAAATAAAAAATAAAATAAATAAATTCCATGCATCAAGCTGCAGATCAGCCTGTGGTTCTCTTCCCCAAGTGTATTTCCTAAAATGTAGTCTAAAATAGAAGGGTAGTGGAAGCTAAGATGATATTTGGAACACAAAAACCAGGATAAATGATCATGGGTACTCACTCCAATATGTGGGATTAAAAGCAGCAAGTGATAGATAAAAGAAGTAAATAAAATGGCTTACATAAAAGTGAAGAGAAATGGAGCAGTGATTCTGACTCTTATTCTTACTGTCACAGCAAGATCGTTGTTTTATTTCCTGCATAACACTTGAATATCTAAGTCAGCAATGCAGAAAGCATGTGTTTCACTTGGGAATGCAGTGCATACTGCCTTAAGGGTGGCCTATGATTAAGCTCTTTAAAACAATTACTGGGTATGAAATGGTTGTTTGCTCTCACTTAGATACAAGTGCTCAATTAATGGAGTTCTGTTAACATTCAGCTTGGAGAACAAGACAGGACTTGTGGGAATACAAGAAAAGCTGTTCAGAGCAGAAGCTGTGGAGCCAGATGAACAGCATGAGAACCAAGGACACCTCTAGAAGAAGAAAGAACATCTCATGGCTCTGACTGGATAAGTGCCTGTGTGAATATTTGAAGAGTGTTTTGTAGAATGCTCTGTTGACATGTAAAAGTGGATGGGAAAGCTAGAAAAAGAAATCTTGTGAAGGTGTATAGGTGATATGAGAACTTGTGCTAAATGATTTAGATCATTCCCATCTGCGTCCCTGCATCAGACGCTGCACACCTCTGGTACAAGGGACAGGCTGAGAGAGCTAGGGCTGTTAAGCCTGGCGAAGAGAAAGCTCTGAGGTGACCTGATAGCAGCCTTTCAGTATCTAAAGTGGGACAATGAGAAATAAGGGAACAGACTCTTTATCAGGGTCTGCTGTGACAGGAGAAGGGGCAATAGTTTCAAACTAACAGGGGGGAGACGTAGATTGGATGTAAGAAAAAGGTGTTTTAAAATAAGGGTGGTGAGGCACTGGAACAGGTGATCCAGAGAGGGGGCGGATGCGCCCCATTCCTGGGGACTTTCAAGGTCAGGCTGGACTGGGATCTGAGCAACCTAATCTAGCTGTAGGTATCCCTGTTCATTGCAGGGGAGCTTTGAAAGTCCCTTCCAACTCAAATGATTCCCCTGGCAATCTATGCATTTGTCTTCCCAGTAGCAGTTCTTATGGTGTAATTAGCATAGATAATCATCCTCCAGAATAAGAGCTACGTTCTATTGGTTCTATTTCTCTACTTTTCTGGAGTTCAGGTCTCTAGAGAAGAGCAAGAAACAAATAGTAAGAATGATAGGGTGACACAAGAGGAAGAAATCATTGCTGTTCCTCAGTATCAAACTGTAGGTGAAAAGGGGTTAGTGCAGTCTGCTCCTGTGCCTTTTCTGTAAAACTCTTCCACCTGAGCTCAAGTAGGTGTTTTTCTTTTAAAGGTAAAGAACTGTTCTAAACTATCAAAGTGAACTTTTCATGCATACTGTTCTTGAATACGTTCCTCTGAATACGCACTTTGGAGTGCTTGCCCCGAACTAGGAATGGCAATTAATTTGAATACTAAAACCACGCATAAACATTGTCTGAACTTTATCTCAGTGCCTAATCCAAGCCCAGCTGCCTGGGTCTGTTAGTTCTGGGTGTTTACATGCATTCTCCTATTCATCTAGCTGGCTGTCACTTTGTATCTTGGAAGTAGACAAAAAGAATCACATTTTAGTATCTTTCCCAAGATGTGCCAGCCAGCGCTTAGTGTTCCAGTCGACAAAAGGCTTTTGAATTTCATGCTACTCCAGTGGATTCTGCTACTTTTTATCAAATTAAGATGGCAGAGTACTGTGATTTTGCTGGCCCCTCATTTTATTTCCGTTTGTAGTCGCCCTTAAGCAGTGAGGGTCAGCATATTTGCTGTAACCATTTTTTTTGGTAATTAAATAAAATAGTATTCATTTATGTGGACTTCACATAGTAGTGACATCGACAATTGATGACTCTGTGATTTTTATATCCTCTTGGGAGAATCAATATTGTCAGTGAAAACCTGCTCAGTGTTGCAGTTTGCAGGCAAGATGACAGGAGGGTGATGCTCATTGAGCATAAAGGATGCTGACGTATTCACACAATATTGTTTTGAAAATAATGTAAGAATTGCCATGTGCTAAGCTTTAGAAATGGGCAACATCCTTTATCTTAAGGTGGACAACATTGCTTAACAGAACTTGTTTGCAGTTTTGTAGGCGTCAAATCCGGAGATGTTTCTGCAAGTTTTTCTCTCTCTCAGGAGATAACTGTGCTACCACTTAGGAAACACCCACTACTTTGCAACTTTGGTTTGTTTGTACAGATTTATACATTGCTTTTGCACCACAGATTCCAGTGGTTTTATTTTTTGTAATAATTATCACTTCTGAAATCGTGCTCTGTGCTATGGAGGTACACTCTGCTTAAAGGAAGAAAAACAGTTTGCATAGGGCATGGAGCCTTATATACAGCTTACACTTTGAAATGGCACTTACAAAGCATGTTTGTTTGTTTGTTTGTTTTTGTTTTTTTCCTGTAAACAGGTAAGCTATAGGATAAATTGTCAAGGAAGTTTCTGTAATTTTTGGTCTTAATGTTAGATAAGATCAAGGTAAGGGGGGAACCAAAAGGCTTTGGGCCAAAGGAATCACTAGAGGCTTGCAACAGTTTGGTTAGCTGCCATTGACCCCAAGATGCTTGCAGCCTTCACTACAGCTTGGCCCTTATTCAGAAAGATGAAGCAATCAAGCAACCTTTCATTTGGTGCTAGAGAGAGGCCTGTACATAAACACAGTGTGCAGTGCAGCTCCCAGACAGTTTGTGCTGCAGCTCATGCTAATTGCTGAGCAGGTGTCCCTGTCAGGGAAAAAGCTGTGACCCAAAAGGAAGACTAAGAGAAATGTGGCTCTGTTCTTAATTGATGTGGGGCCCTTGTGACACAGAACTGAGAAAGGGCTGAGTACTGAATGCCTTCTTCACTCAGCTTCTTACTTTGCAAGGCTGACCTCTGGAAATGATCTCGATGGCAGTAAACAGGGAAGAGAAAAAGCAAATCTCTTCCATATTTCTTTATACACAGTGATGTTGCTCTAGTCAAATGCTGTCTGTTGCAAGCCTTCCTTTACAACTTATTTCACAAACACAAAGTAATGTTTGGCTGTTATGTATGTACACTCTTGTCTCAAGCTATGCAGAATTTCTGTGAATGTTTTCAATTGGATATGAAATTAAGTAGATGAGGAAAACCACACCCTGTTCACACTGATCAAATGGATTTAATGGCACCAGTAACAGTCTGTCTGAGTACTGCACATATTGCGTGTTGTTGCCATGTGACAGATGGCAGCAGAAAAGCACTCTGACAAGATGGCACCTGACATCCAGGAAGTCTGTATGAAGCCAAGGTGTGTCGCTGAATTCCTCTGTGTGGAGAAAATGGCACCCACTAGGTGTTTGCTGAATGCTTGTGGGTGTGAGCACAGAGGGGCAGTGTGCAGTGTACTTCAGCAGTGATGTCTGTGACTGTGGGTCACCTGTGCTGGCACAGATTTTGAAGAGCACAGCATGCAGTCTCATGCTTATTGCAGGCAAAAATGCATAGCTAATGGCGATGGCTATATTGGAGAACAGTTGCTTTGCAGCTGAGGATTTGCTCTATCAGAGTGACTGTGCTCATTTTACCCGTTTCCACGAAAATAAATAGGAGGCATTCCTTTTGGAGCAAATATAGGTGGCCCAGGACTGTTTGTCTTCACTCGGTGCAGCCGAAGCAAACCAGCAGGCTGGACACTGGTGCTGTACACCATCTGTACCACAGCCAGTTCCCTCAGGTCCTGGGTGCCTTGCTCCTGCAGGGTACTCCATTTGCCTGGCTTACACGCCAGGAAAAGATTCCCTGGAGGGAACCTCTTACTCACGGCTGAGTCATTGCTGCTGCTGCTACATTCTGTTTTGGCTTAGGTGGGAGCAGCAGTTATTCTGTATCCACCGTGTTGTCTCTTCCATAGTCCTAGTTTGTGCCATTGCTGCAATGAGCAAGAACGTAGCTGAGCACAGAAGGAAAGCAATTGGGCAAACACTGCAGCGCAAAGCCATTAGGTGAGCATTTCCAAGCACGGTGTGCAAGTGAGTTATAAAATACAAGCAGCTCCACAAAACAGGAGCATCCTGAGTTGACAAATAAATGATACCCTTCATACCCTAACTGCCAGCTTGTTTCACCCTTTTCCCTTAGTAATGGCATTTCTTTTCCCTTAGCGCTGGCATTTCTGAGGGATTTTTGCTGTAGGGGCAGAGATGGGAGGTGTCACTGGGAAGAATTCCTTAAAAGATATGCATACATTTTTTAATTATGTTTGTGGGCATCTATAACTCAGGAAGGAATACCTCATATGTGCATCACTGTTGAAAGAAACCCTGAAGTGAAAGCACGGAGTTCCCCACAGCCAGCTCTGCCAGGCTCTGGGGCTGTGAGCTGAGATCACCGGAGCCGCGGCTCTGCCCTGAGGGGACGGATGGCAGCACCTGTGAGCGGGGCCGTGACCGGCAGGTGACCCCGGCCGTGACCGACAGGTGACCCCGGCCCGGCCTCCGTTAGGAAGAAAGGGCGGGAACATCGAGGGGGTTGGAGAGAGAACGGCGGGAAGAAAAGCGCGGGAAGCGACAGCGGCGCCCAGCGCTCCTATTGGCTGGCGGGCTGAAGGGACAGCTATAAAAGGTGCGCGCGCGGGCAGGTGAGCGAGACGTTTTCCACAGCGTTGTGAAGAGGAGCGGGGTGCTGCGAAGGAAAGACGCCGGCGGTAGCAGCGACAGCGGCTACAAGCGGTCTCCAGAGCCGAGGTGCGGCGGGGCCGGGGTGCGGCGGATCCGAGGCGAGGCGTAGCGGGGCCGGCGCGGGGGTGCGGCGAGGCTGGGACCGGGTCGAGGTGGGTTGGGCGGGGCGGGGCCCGGGACTCTGCTGCTGCCGCTGCGCGCGGGCTCCGGCGGATGGCAGCCGAAGTCGCAGGCCCCGATGGCGGCCGGGCCGAACCGGGGCTGGAGCTGCTAGTTGCGCTCCGGTGGCGGGAGGAAGGAGCCGGGGCTGGAGTCGCCTGCTGGGCTCTGATGGCGGGCGGAGCCGGGCTCTCCGAGCGGGCTGCGAGAGCAGGGAGCTCTGAGCGCGCTACCAGAGGAGGCGAGGAGGCGCGACAAGCGGGGCGAGCTGCCACGTGCAAGAAGACGCTCCGAGGCAACAGCGAGCAGCAATAATAAAGCAATAGTAACTGCTATCGCAGTGCTGAAACAAACGGGTTTTTTCTCTTCTCACGAACGAGGTGGTGGGAATGGGGGAGGACGCGAGAGTTGCACTGCTGATGAAAAGGGGGGAGACATAAAGTATCATTGTGCTGTTTAAAAATGTAAGTGTGTTAAAGAAGCTCTATAGGAGGAACGGGTGGATGCTCAGAAAAATAAAGGCTTCAGTGTGAAATATTGTATTCTTCTAAAAGACAATCCATGGCAATAGATGTTACAAGTTGGAAATGTCCCTTGTAACTTCACAGCACATGATTGCTACGAACAGGAGAATGAGCAATGAAATGAATTTATAGGAGCTAGAATCTGAAATGTTCCAGGTGAGGGGAGTAACAAGAGGCAAAAAAACCTCCGTAACAGGTGGGCCACGCTAACAATACAGAAGTGCAAGGTGGTACAGTGGTTAACTTTACGGAGAACAATTACTATAATGAAAACTGTTATTTTTGCAAGAAGCAGTGTGGGGACGCGGGAGGCAGGAGCGAGCAAGAAGAGGATGCCGAAGCGTGCCGACGCGGGGGGGAAGGAGAGAGGCAGGCTGGGCAAAGCAGGTGTCCCGTTAGCGGGGCCGCAGTCACATGAGAGTTTGAGCGTTGCCGGTGCCTTGGCCGGCTTTGTGCTGGGCGACCTCCCTGTAAGCAGGGCTCGGGTCTTTGCTTTTGCTGTAGTTGGGCTTTTGCCTTGCTGCTCCTTAGGCTGCCTGGGGAGCGTGGCCCCCTGTAACGGAGGGCGAGAGCCACCTCTCCGCACCTGAGTGGGAAATGGAGCTCGCCGGACCCCGAGGCCGCCCTGTAAGCAGGGTAGTGCCGTTTGCCCGTCCCTCTTCCTCCTCCGGCCCCTCGGCATCGTTGCCTGGTGGTGGCCCGTAAATGCGACGGCGCCGTACTCGGGGTGCGCGTCACGGCATCTGGCCTTTGGCTTTAGCTGGGAAGCCCCTTGGCACGTTGAGGTCTGTGGCCTCCGTGCAGGCTAGGGACAGGTTGCAGGCTCTTGTCTGTTGCCCGCGGTTGTGGGTTTATTCCCAGGGTTTGGCTGCGCTGCGTTGTCCTTCCCTTCTGGAAAGTCGCATCTGTGCGCGTGTGTTCCCCTTCCTTTCCATGTTTGTGTCTGTGGTGTGACTGAGCGACTGAGCTTCCCTTTAGGCTCCCACAAAAATGGCTGCAGCCTAGCTTCGACTTACCAGGGGGGAACGGAGGACTTTGGTGCATGCCACAAAAGGGGTGTTCCCTCTCAGTCCCGCGAGCGCAGCGAGTGTCCTGTCTTCCTCTAAATTACTTAGCAGAGATCAGAGCCACGTGGTAGTTCTGTGGCTGAGGCCGCCCTGTAGCCAGGGCATGGGCCAGTCCTTTAGTGGGCGCCTGCTCCGCTGGCGGTGTGACAGCCCCGTAGTCGGGGCGTGTGTCCCAAGCTGCGGAGGCCTCTGTCCCGCGAGCGGCCCGCCCTCCCTGTAATCAGGTGTGGGGAGGCTGCAGCATTGCAGCCGGCTGCTCTAGCCATCCAGCTGGTGGGATTGACCCCTCCCTGTCCCGTCAGAGGGTGCAGGTTGAGGTGCTGGTTTTGTGTGTGGGGTGACCTCCCCGCTCGGTGGGTCGAGGTTGCTCCCCGGGTTCCCAAAGACGAGAGCTTGGTGCTGTTGTGCTGCTGCCGGGCGGGCCAGCCTGTAGCTCAGGCGTTGGCGGGAGCCTCGTGCTCCGCGGGGCTTCTTGGTGAGGGTGGGGTGTGGGGGTACCGTCCTGTAGGCAGGGCTGTGCGTGCCCCCGGTGTGTGCTTGGTGAGCTGCGTTGAGAGAGACCCCCTGTAGTCAGGCGGGCATGTGGCCCTGGCCTTTCAGAGGCACGGGGCCGCGAGATGCGGGGTTGGGCTTGCGCCCTCCCTGGAATCAGGGCTGGGAGCCCGAGCGCGGCATTTGGCCGTGTTGCCCCGCTGCCTGGCAGCTGAGAGTCGCTCCCGCCGCTGGGGGGGAAACCGAGCTCTGTGGCTCCAGGGGTGTTGTCCACCCGCCTGTAATCAGGGTCTGGGTGTGCGAGCGCTTGTGCTCAGCTGGCAGCCTGTGTGGGGTGACCGCCCCGTTAGCGGGGTGCGGGTCAAGGTGCCCCCTGAGTGGGAGAGAAGGAGCCTCCCGCGGCCGGTAGGGATGGGGGCTGCCCTGTAAGGTGGGGAGCGCCAGTGCCCCGCAGTCCCAGGCCCTTTGCAATGGATGCAGTGGCGGGGGTCCCCTGTAATCAGGGAAGATGACTCTTTGGCCGCTGCTGTGTGTGTGCCCAGCTCCATTTGCCCAGTCTGCCCGCCTCTGTGATCCCCCGCAGCACCGGCTGGAAGCGCGCCGTGCGCCAGTGAGGTGAGAAAAGCTGCTCGCAGTAGTTTTTGCTGGGATGAACTGGGGAGGGGGGATGCTCGGCCTTCCTTGGCTGGGTGGGGGCGTGCCGGGTTCTTTTGTGATGTTGGGTTTCCCTTTCCCTTCCGATGGTGGGCTTGTTGCTGTGCAGATCTAATGGTGTCCTCGCTGATGTTTCAGGAGCTGCTGCAGGAGGAGGAGGAGGAGGAGGAAGAAGAAGAAATGTCGTGGGGACGCGGGAGGCAGGAGCGAGCAAGAAGAGGATGCCGAAGCGTGCCGACGCGGGGGGGAAGGAGAGAGGCAGGCTGGGCAAAGCAGGTGTCCCGTTAGCGGGGCCGCAGTCACATGAGAGTTTGAGCGTTGCCGGTGCCTTGGCCGGCTTTGTGCTGGGCGACCTCCCTGTAAGCAGGGCTCGGGTCTTTGCTTTTGCTGTAGTTGGGCTTTTGCCTTGCTGCTCCTTAGGCTGCCTGGGGAGCGTGGCCCCCTGTAACGGAGGGCGAGAGCCACCTCTCCGCACCTGAGTGGGAAATGGAGCTCGCCGGACCCCGAGGCCTCCCTGTAAGCAGGGTAGTGCCGTTTGCCCGTCCCTCTTCCTCCTCCGGCCCCTCGGCATCGTTGCCTGGTGGTGGCCCGTAAATGCGACGGCCCCGTACTCGGGGTGCGCGTCACGGCATCTGGCCTTTGGCTTTAGCTGGGAAGCCCCTTGGCACGTTGAGGTCTGCGGCCTCCGTGCAGGCTAGAGAGAGTTCACAGGCTCTTGGCTGTCCTTTATTGGGCGCCTGCTCCGCTGGCGGTGTGACAGCCCCGTAGTCGGGGCGTGTGTCCCAAGCTGCGGAGGCCTCTGTCCCGCGAGCGGCCCGCCCTCCCTGTAATCAGGTGTGGGGAGGCTGCAGCATTGCAGCCGGCTGCTCTAGCCATCCAGCTGGTGGGATTGACCCCTCCCTGTCCCGTCAGAGGGTGCAGGTTGAGGTGCTGGTTTTGTGTGTGGGGTGACCTCCCCGCTCGGTGGGTCGAGGTTGCTCCCCGGGTTCCCAAAGATGAGAGCTTGGTGCTGTTGTGCTGCTGCCGGGCGGGCCAGCCTGTAGCTCAGGCGTTGGCGGGAGCCTCGTGCTCCGCGGGGCTTCTTGGTGAGGGTGGGGTGTGGGGGTACCGTCCTGTAGGCAGGGCTGTGCGTGCCCCCGGTGTGTGCTTGGTGAGCTGCGTTGAGAGAGACCCCCTGTAGTCAGGCGGGCATGTGGCCCTGGCCTTTCAGAGGCACGGGGCCGCGAGATGCGGGGTTGGGCTTGCGCCCTCCCTGGAATCAGGGCTGGGAGCCCGAGCGCGGCATTTGGCCGTGTTGCCCCGCTGCCTGGCAGCTGAGAGTCGCTCCCGCCGCTGGGGGGGAAACCGAGCTCTGTGGCTCCAGGGGTGTTGTCCACCCGCCTGTAATCAGGGTCTGGGTGTGCGAGCGCTTGTGCTCAGCTGGCAGCCTGTGTGGGGTGACCGCCCCGTTAGCGGGGTGTGGGTCAAGGTGCCCCCTGAGTGGGAGAGAAGGAGCCTCCCGCGGCCGGTAGGGATGGGGGCTGCCCTGTAAGGCGGGGAGCACCAGTGCCCCGCAGTCCCAGGCCCTTTGCAATGGATGCAGTGGCGGGGGTCCCCTGTAATCAGGGAAGATGACTCTTTGGCCGCTGCTGTGTGTGTGCCCAGCTCCATTTGCCCAGTCTGCCCGCCTCTGTGATCCCCCGCAGCACCGGCTGGAAGCGCGCCGTGCGCCAGTGAGGTGAGAAAAGCTGCTCGCAGTAGTTTTTGCTGGGATGAACTGGGGAGGGGGGAATGCTCGGCCTTCCTTGGCTGGGTGGGGGCGTGCCGGGTTCTTTTGTGATGTTGGGTTTCCCTTTCCCTTCCGATGGTGGGCTTGTTGCTGTGCAGATCTAATGGTGTCCTCGCTGATGTTTCAGGAGCTGCTGCAGGAGGAGGAGGAGGAGGAGGAAGAAGAAGAAATGTCGTGGGGACGCGGGAGGCAGGAGCGAGCAAGAAGAGGATGCCGAAGCGTGCCGACGCGGGGGGGAAGGAGAGAGGCAGGCTGGGCAAAGCAGGTGTCCCGTTAGCGGGGCCGCAGTCACATGAGAGTTTGAGCGTTGCCGGTGCCTTGGCCGGCTTTGTGCTGGGCGACCTCCCTGTAAGCAGGGCTCGGGTCTTTGCTTTTGCTGTAGTTGGGCTTTTGCCTTGCTGCTCCTTAGGCTGCCTGGGGAGCGTGGCCCCCTGTAACGGAGGGCGAGAGCCACCTCTCCGCACCTGAGTGGGAAATGGAGCTCGCCGGACCCCGAGGCCGCCCTGTAAGCAGGGTAGTGCCGTTTGCCCGTCCCTCTTCCTCCTCCGGCCCCTCGGCATCGTTGCCTGGTGGTGGCCCGTAAATGCGACGGCCCCGTACTCGGGGTGCGCGTCACGGCATCTGGCCTTTGGCTTTAGCTGGGAAGCCCCTTGGCACGTTGAGGTCTGCGGCCTCCGTGCAGGCTAGAGAGAGTTCACAGGCTCTTGGCTGTCCTTTATTGGGCGCCTGCTCCGCTGGCGGTGTGACAGCCCCGTAGTCGGGGCGTGTGTCCCAAGCTGCGGAGGCCTCTGTCCCGCGAGCGGCCCGCCCTCCCTGTATTCAGGTGTGGGGAGGCTGCAGCATTGCAGCCGGCTGCTCTAGCCATCCAGCTGGTGGGATTGACCCCTCCCTGTCCCGTCAGAGGGTGCAGGTTGAGGTGCTGGTTTTGTGTGTGGGGTGACCTCCCCGCTCGGTGGGTCGAGGTTGCTCCCCGGGTTCCCAAAGATGAGAGCTTGGTGCTGTTGTGCTGCTGCCGGGCGGGCCAGCCTGTAGCTCAGGCGTTGGCGGGAGCCTCGTGCTCCGCGGGGCTTCTTGGTGAGGGTGGGGTGTGGGGGTACCGTCCTGTAGGCAGGGCTGTGCGTGCCCCCGGTGTGTGCTTGGTGAGCTGCGTTGAGAGAGACCCCCTGTAGTCAGGCGGGCATGTGGCCCTGGCCTTTCAGAGGCACGGGGCCGCGAGATGCGGGGTTGGGCTTGCGCCCTCCCTGGAATCAGGGCTGGGAGCCCGAGCGCGGCATTTGGCCGTGTTGCCCCGCTGCCTGGCAGCTGAGAGTCGCTCCCGCCGCTGGGGGGGAAACCGAGCTCTGTGGCTCCAGGGGTGTTGTCCACCCGCCTGTAATCAGGGTCTGGGTGCGCGAGCGCTTGTGCTCAGCTGGCAGCCTGTGTGGGGTGACCGCCCCGTTAGCGGGGTGCGGGTCAAGGTGCCCCCTGAGTGGGAGAGAAGGAGCCTCCCGCGGCCGGTAGGGATGGAGGCTGCCCTGTAAGGCGGGGAGCGCCAGTGCCCCGCAGTCCCCGGCCCTTTGCAATGGGTGCAGTGGCGGGGGTCCCCTGTAATCAGGGAAGATGACTCTTTGGCCGCTGCTGTGTGTGTGCCCAGCTCCATTTGCCCAGTCTGCCCGCCTCTGTGATCCCCCGCAGCACCGGCTGGAAGCGCGCCGTGCGCCAGTGAGGTGAGAAAAGCTGCTCGCAGTAGTTTTTGCTGGGATGAACTGGGGGGGGGGGAATGCTCGGCCTTCCTTGGCTGGGTGGGGGCGTGCCGGGTTCTTTTGTGATGTTGGGTTTCCCTTTCCCTTCCGATGGTGGGCTTGTTGCTGTGCAGATCTAATGGTGTCCTCGCTGATGTTTCAGGAGCTGCTGCAGGAGGAGGAGGAGGAGGAGGAAGAAGAAGAAATGTCGTGGGGACGCGGGAGGCAGGAGCGAGCAAGAAGAGGATGCCGAAGCGTGCCGACGCGGGGGGGAAGGAGAGAGGCAGGCTGGGCAAAGCAGGTGTCCCGTTAGCGGGGCCGCAGTCACATGAGAGTTTGAGCGTTGCCGGTGCCTTGGCCGGCTTTGTGCTGGGCGACCTCCCTGTAAGCAGGGCTCGGGTCTTTGCTTTTGCTGTAGTTGGGCTTTTGCCTTGCTGCTCCTTAGGCTGCCTGGGGAGCGTGGCCCCCTGTAACGGAGGGCGAGAGCCACCTCTCCGCACCTGAGTGGGAAATGGAGCTCGCCGGACCCCGAGGCCGCCCTGTAAGCAGGGTAGTGCCGTTTGCCCGTCCCTCTTCCTCCTCCGGCCCCTCGGCATCGTTGCCTGGTGGTGGCCCGTAAATGCGACGGCGCCGTACTCGGGGTGCGTGTCACGGCATCTGGCCTTTGGCTTTAGCTGGGAAGCCCCTTGGCACGTTGAGGTCTGTGGCCTCCGTGCAGGCTAGGGACAGGTTGCAGGCTCTTGGCTGTCCTTTAGTGGGCGCCTGCTCCGCTGGCGGTGTGACAGCCCCGTAGTCGGGGCGTGTGTCCCAAGCTGCGGAGGCCTCTGTCCCGCGAGCGGCCCGCCCTCCCTGTAATCAGGTGTGGGGAGGCTGCAGCATTGCAGCCGGCTGCTCTAGCCATCCAGCTGGTGGGATTGACCCCTCCCTGTCCCGTCAGAGGGTGCAGGTTGAGGTGCTGGTTTTGTGTGTGGGGTGACCTCCCCGCTCGGTGGGTCGAGGTTGCTCCCCGGGTTCCCAAAGACGAGAGCTTGGTGCTGTTGTGCTGCTGCCGGGCGGGCCAGCCTGTAGCTCAGGCGTTGGCGGGAGCCTCGTGCTCCGCGGGGCTTCTTGGTGAGGGTGGGGCGTGGGGGTACCGTCCTGTAGGCAGGGCTGTGCGTGCCCCCGGTGTGTGCTTGGTGAGCTGCGTTGAGAGAGACCCCCTGTAGTCAGGCGGGCATGTGGCCCTGGCCTTTCAGAGGCACGGGGCCGCGAGATGCGGGGTTGGGCTTGCGCCCTCCCTGGAATCAGGGCTGGGAGCCCGAGCGCGGCATTTGGCCGTGTTGCCCCGCTGCCTGGCAGCTGAGAGTCGCTCCCGCCGCTGGGGGGGAAACCGAGCTCTGTGGCTCCAGGGGTGTTGTCCACCCGCCTGTAATCAGGGTCTGGGTGTGCGAGCGCTTGTGCTCAGCTGGCAGCCTGTGTGGGGTGACCGCCCCGTTAGCGGGGTGCGGGTCAAGGTGCCCCCTGAGTGGGAGAGAAGGAGCCTCCCGCGGCCGGTAGGGATGGGGGCTGCCCTGTAAGGTGGGGAGCGCCAGTGCCCCGCAGTCCCAGGCCCTTTGCAATGGATGCAGTGGCGGGGGTCCCCTGTAATCAGGGAAGATGACTCTTTGGCCGCTGCTGTGTGTGTGCCCAGCTCCATTTGCCCAGTCTGCCCGCCTCTGTGATCCCCCGCAGCACCGGCTGGAAGCGCGCCGTGCGCCAGTGAGGTGAGAAAAGCTGCTCGCAGTAGTTTTTGCTGGGATGAACTGGGGAGGGGGGATGCTCGGCCTTCCTTGGCTGGGTGGGGGCGTGCCGGGTTCTTTTGTGATGTTGGGTTTCCCTTTCCCTTCCGATGGTGGGCTTGTTGCTGTGCAGATCTAATGGTGTCCTCGCTGATGTTTCAGGAGCTGCTGCAGGAGGAGGAGGAGGAGGAGGAAGAAGAAGAAATGTCGTGGGGACGCGGGAGGCAGGAGCGAGCAAGAAGAGGATGCCGAAGCGTGCCGACGCGGGGGGGAAGGAGAGAGGCAGGCTGGGCAAAGCAGGTGTCCCGTTAGCGGGGCCGCAGTCACATGAGAGTTTGAGCGTTGCCGGTGCCTTGGCCGGCTTTGTGCTGGGCGACCTCCCTGTAAGCAGGGCTCGGGTCTTTGCTTTTGCTGTAGTTGGGCTTTTGCCTTGCTGCTCCTTAGGCTGCCTGGGGAGCGTGGCCCCCTGTAACGGAGGGCGAGAGCCACCTCTCCGCACCTGAGTGGGAAATGGAGCTCGCCGGACCCCGAGGCCTCCCTGTAAGCAGGGTAGTGCCGTTTGCCCGTCCCTCTTCCTCCTCCGGCCCCTCGGCATCGTTGCCTGGTGGTGGCCCGTAAATGCGACGGCCCCGTACTCGGGGTGCGCATCACGGCATCTGGCCTTTGGCTTTAGCTGGGAAGCCCCTTGGCACGTTGAGGTCTGCGGCCTCCGTGCAGGCTAGAGAGAGTTCACAGGCTCTTGGCTGTCCTTTATTGGGCGCCTGCTCCGCTGGCGGTGTGACAGCCCCGTAGTCGGGGCGTGTGTCCCAAGCTGCGGAGGCCTCTGTCCCACGAGCGGCCCGCCCTCCCTGTAATCAGGTGTGGGGAGGCTGCAGCATTGCAGCCGGCTGCTCTAGCCATCCAGCTGGTGGGATTGACCCCTCCCTGTCCCGTCAGAGGGTGCAGGTTGAGGTGCTGGTTTTGTGTGTGGGGTGACCTCCCCGCTCGGTGGGTCGAGGTTGCTCCCCGGGTTCCCAAAGATGAGAGCTTGGTGCTGTTGTGCTGCTGCCGGGCGGGCCAGCCTGTAGCTCAGGCGTTGGCGGGAGCCTCGTGCTCCGCGGGGCTTCTTGGTGAGGGTGGGGCGTGGGGGTACCGTCCTGTAGGCAGGGCTGTGCGTGCCCCCGGTGTGTGCTTGGTGAGCTGCGTTGAGAGAGACCCCCTGTAGTCAGGCGGGCATGTGGCCCTGGCCTTTCAGAGGCACGGGGCCGCGAGATGCGGGGTTGGGCTTGCGCCCTCCCTGGAATCAGGGCTGGGAGCCCGAGCGCGGCATTTGGCCGTGTTGCCCCGCTGCCTGGCAGCTGAGAGTCGCTCCCGCCGCTGGGGGGGAAACCGAGCTCTGTGGCTCCAGGGGTGTTGTCCACCCGCCTGTAATCAGGGTCTGGGTGTGCGAGCGCTTGTGCTCAGCTGGCAGCCTGTGTGGGGTGACCGCCCCGTTAGCGGGGTGCGGGTCAAGGTGCCCCCTGAGTGGGAGAGAAGGAGCCTCCCGCGGCCGGTAGGGATGGGGGCTGCCCTGTAAGGCGGGGAGCACCAGTGCCCCGCAGTCCCCGGCCCTTTGCAATGGGTGCAGTGGCGGGGGTCCCCTGTAATCAGGGAAGATGACTCTTTGGCCGCTGCTGTGTGTGTGCCCAGCTCCATTTGCCCAGTCTGCCCGCCTCTGTGATCCCCCGCAGCACCGGCTGGAAGCGCGCCGTGCGCCAGTGAGGTGAGAAAAGCTGCTCGCAGTAGTTTTTGCTGGGATGAACTGGGGAGGGGGGATGCTCGGCCTTCCTTGGCTGGGTGGGGGCGTGCCGGGTTCTTTTGTGATGTTGGGTTTCCCTTTCCCTTCCGATGGTGGGCTTGTTGCTGTGCAGATCTAATGGTGTCCTCGCTGATGTTTCAGGAGCTGCTGCAGGAGGAGGAGGAGGAGGAGGAAGAAGAAGAAATGTCGTGGGGACGCGGGAGGCAGGAGCGAGCAAGAAGAGGATGCCGAAGCGTGCCGACGCGGGGGGGAAGGAGAGAGGCAGGCTGGGCAAAGCAGGTGTCCCGTTAGCGGGGCCGCAGTCACATGAGAGTTTGAGCGTTGCCGGTGCCTTGGCCGGCTTTGTGCTGGGCGACCTCCCTGTAAGCAGGGCTCGGGTCTTTGCTTTTGCTGTAGTTGGGCTTTTGCCTTGCTGCTCCTTAGGCTGCCTGGGGAGCGTGGCCCCCTGTAACGGAGGGCGAGAGCCACCTCTCCGCACCTGAGTGGGAAATGGAGCTCGCCGGACCCCGAGGCCGCCCTGTAAGCAGGGTAGTGCCGTTTGCCCGTCCCTCTTCCTCCTCCGGCCCCTCGGCATCGTTGCCTGGTGGTGGCCCGTAAATGCGACGGCGCCGTACTCGGGGTGCGCGTCACGGCATCTGGCCTTTGGCTTTAGCTGGGAAGCCCCTTGGCACGTTGAGGTCTGTGGCCTCCGTGCAGGCTAGGGACAGGTTGCAGGCTCTTGTCTGTTGCCCGCGGTTGTGGGTTTATTCCCAGGGTTTGGCTGCGCTGCGTTGTCCTTCCCTTCTGGAAAGTCGCATCTGTGCGCGTGTGTTCCCCTTCCTTTCCATGTTTGTGTCTGTGGTGTGACTGAGCGACTGAGCTTCCCTTTAGGCTCCCACAAAAATGGCTGCAGCCTAGCTTCGACTTACCAGGGGGGAACGGAGGACTTTGGTGCATGCCACAAAAGGGGTGTTCCCTCTCAGTCCCGCGAGCGCAGCGAGTGTCCTGTCTTCCTCTAAATTACTTAGCAGAGATCAGAGCCACGTGGTAGTTCTGTGGCTGAGGCCGCCCTGTAGCCAGGGCATGGGCCAGTCCTTTAGTGGGCGCCTGCTCCGCTGGCGGTGTGACAGCCCCGTAGTCGGGGCGTGTGTCCCAAGCTGCGGAGGCCTCTGTCCCGCGAGCGGCCCGCCCTCCCTGTAATCAGGTGTGGGGAGGCTGCAGCATTGCAGCCGGCTGCTCTAGCCATCCAGCTGGTGGGATTGACCCCTCCCTGTCCCGTCAGAGGGTGCAGGTTGAGGTGCTGGTTTTGTGTGTGGGGTGACCTCCCCGCTCGGTGGGTCGAGGTTGCTCCCCGGGTTCCCAAAGACGAGAGCTTGGTGCTGTTGTGCTGCTGCCGGGCGGGCCAGCCTGTAGCTCAGGCGTTGGCGGGAGCCTCGTGCTCCGCGGGGCTTCTTGGTGAGGGTGGGGCGTGGGGGTACCGTCCTGTAGGCAGGGCTGTGCGTGCCCCCGGTGTGTGCTTGGTGAGCTGCGTTGAGAGAGACCCCCTGTAGTCAGGCGGGCATGTGGCCCTGGCCTTTCAGAGGCACGGGGCCGCGAGATGCGGGGTTGGGCTTGCGCCCTCCCTGGAATCAGGGCTGGGAGCCCGAGCGCGGCATTTGGCCGTGTTGCCCCGCTGCCTGGCAGCTGAGAGTCGCTCCCGCCGCTGGGGGGGAAACCGAGCTCTGTGGCTCCAGGGGTGTTGTCCACCCGCCTGTAATCAGGGTCTGGGTGTGCGAGCGCTTGTGCTCAGCTGGCAGCCTGTGTGGGGTGACCGCCCCGTTAGCGGGGTGCGGGTCAAGGTGCCCCCTGAGTGGGAGAGAAGGAGCCTCCCGCGGCCGGTAGGGATGGGGGCTGCCCTGTAAGGTGGGGAGCGCCAGTGCCCCGCAGTCCCAGGCCCTTTGCAATGGATGCAGTGGCGGGGGTCCCCTGTAATCAGGGAAGATGACTCTTTGGCCGCTGCTGTGTGTGTGCCCAGCTCCATTTGCCCAGTCTGCCCGCCTCTGTGATCCCCCGCAGCACCGGCTGGAAGCGCGCCGTGCGCCAGTGAGGTGAGAAAAGCTGCTCGCAGTAGTTTTTGCTGGGATGAACTGGGGAGGGGGGATGCTCGGCCTTCCTTGGCTGGGTGGGGGCGTGCCGGGTTCTTTTGTGATGTTGGGTTTCCCTTTCCCTTCCGATGGTGGGCTTGTTGCTGTGCAGATCTAATGGTGTCCTCGCTGATGTTTCAGGAGCTGCTGCAGGAGGAGGAGGAGGAGGAGGAAGAAGAAGAAATGTCGTGGGGACGCGGGAGGCAGGAGCGACCGTGAAGGGGATTCTTTTTACTGTCAATCTCTTTCTATTAACTTGTCTTTTGAAGCCATAGTTAATATGTGTGTATTGCTGTTGTTACTTCCCAATTCCCAGTAGAGACCTTTGAGAATAAAATTTATTTCTATGTTGTTGTTGCAGTGGATATCCTGTTTTCGTTTCTTTCCTGCACTGTATTTTGGTATTAAGTTCTGCCTCAGTTAGCATAAAGCGTTTTCTTGTTGAATTGCTATTCTGCCTTTTGTTTCTTTTCTCTACCCGTAAGGAAAATCTTTTTATCTTTCCTGAGGATTTTGGTCAGCTGTCTTTGGCGTGTAGTGGTGGGTACTGGTGACATTCCAAGTTTTCCTTACGTGTCATGGCATGGGGTATGGAATATTGCCTTGGCCAGGTTTAGGTCACCCATCCTGTTTCTGTCCCCTCTCTCTGAGCTGCTCCCAGCCCTCTTCCTGTACAGTAGGAGTGTCTGACAAAACAAACATCGTTCACTCTGTTCAGAGCTGCTCCGTAAGAACTGGAAACACTGGTGTGTTATGGTATCGTACTTCTCTGAAACATAGCAGCATGCCATCCACTGTGAGGAAAAGCTGCTCTGTCCCTGCTGAAGCTGGAGCCATACCCACCCCTTGTCCTGTCTCATGGAGGTTATGGTTAGATCTTGTAACGATCTTATACATCCTAATCGTTTATTGTCTCCTGTCTTACTTTGTGATGTTTACACACATCTCATTCCAACTCCCTATGGCCGGTCCATGTAAGTTTTCTGTCCGTGAAGGTCATTTAGCTCATGATTTGGGGCTGTATCTGTTACAGCAGTCCTTCAGTACAGGAGAGATTGTCAGATTGCTTCTTGCTAAGCTAGCTTTGACTTCAACAGGTTTGGTTCCTCTTTCGGTGAGGTGGTTCTTATGGTAACAATGTTACTGAGGCCTGTAAGAACTGTGGTGACGATGGCATGCAGTATTGTCTGCCAACTGTGTATTCTTACACACCATCAAATCCCTTTGAGGTACGCAACACCCACCCACCATCCTGCTTTTCCCACCACGTGTTTGCAGGTCCTTTAGGAGAAGTAATCCCGCAAATAGGCTTGCCTTTGAGGCCGGAATAATCCAGACTGTCTTGCTCAGCATGTTCTTTACATGCACCACTGCGTCTTTATCCCCCTTCTATGGTACACAGGATGTTTCGTTGGACCATTGGACCAGCCCCACTGGCAGATCCCTGAGCGTTGACTAAGCAGGTGGCTTGTGCTAAATATTTGTCCCGGTGTTTAAATGGAATGCACCTATGGCTCCTAAGGTAGTCTTTAATAGGCCAGTGTATCAGCTGATTTTTCCAGATGCTGTGTGTGGTAGGGGATGTGATATAGCAACTGAAAGGTGTGCTCTTTTGCCCAGGTGATTCTGAGATTGTTTCAGAAATGAGTCCTGTTGCCTGACTCAGTTCTTTCTGGGCTGCTGTGTCACCAGAAGGCTTGCTTTTCAGGCTTTTGGGCAGTAGCCATGTGCGTGGGGTTTTGTTTCCGTCCATGCAGAGGTCGCTACCAGCGTTGTGTGCGTGTGGTGCTTGGCTGCCTAACAGCTGTAATCTTTTTGCACACCTCATGGTTCATTTAATGTTCGAGTCAGTTTCTTTCTCTTTCTTCTCCCATTTTAGTAGTGGCTCTGTTCCACCTTCATCTTATGAGCTTCTCTCCTTGTTAAACGTTCTGGCTTTTTTGGATATTTTTTTTTCTTCCCACTTTTGAGGGAGAAGAGTTACAGGCGCTGGTTGGTTCTTTGGTTGAACTGTGGGACTTAGCATAGGGGTTGGAGTGACCACAGGGCTAGTTGTGAGGGTCATGGCTGCTGTGGGGCCCTTGAGAAGGCTTACAGTACCCACAGGTCCGTTACAAGGACTGAAGCAACTGCAGGGCCTCTTGCAGGGATTGGAGCAGCTGCAGGACGCGTTGCAAGGGTTGGAGCAGCAGCAGAGCCCGTCACAGTTGCTGGAGCAACCGTAGAGCTGCAGAGGCTGCAACCTGGCTGTTCTTCATCATTGCTTGGTTTTCAATTTTTGGAACTGTGATTGAATTCACTGGTAGCTATTAGTAGATAACGAAAGTGAATTGGAAGCTGCAGAAGTCCAGACCTCGGTACTGAGCTCTTGTGTCTCTTGCCTAATGTCCTCCATATCTTTAAAAAGAATAATTTTTAAAAAGAGTTGGTTGGTTTGCCAAACGCACAAAAAAGAAATGGCATTCCAAACTAGGTCCCTTCTGAAAACGTCGACTCGTACTGCCTAATGCTTCTCATTCATCTGATGTATTTATGGAACAGATGTGTTTTCTGAATTAAGCTTAGTAAGCGTTCTTTCACCGCTGTTGTACTTGGCACATTTCCTCTCAAACGTTTCATGGTAACTGCCTGTCGAAAGTCAGACAGGACTTCCCCTTACATCCTCCTGCCCGCACATACAGCAAAAGATGAGTGAGAGGAGAAAAAATCTTCTGTTTCTTGTTCGTCTGTACTAGGATGTGCTGGGATTTGGGAAGGCAAAACCCTTGCTGTTGTCCTCCCGTGTATGTTTATAAAGCCATAATGGGTCGTTAAATCAGAGCTATTGATGGGTTTTTAACTCCAGGTGGGGATCGTTTTGCTCATTTAATCTGATGTCGTGCACATCAGAGAACAGGGATCTTGTCCAGGCATCTCTGCACTGGGGTTTTTTGGGAAATCTTACTGGCTGTTAATTCACATCTTCATCGGCATTGAGGCTCCTGTTATACTTCAACACATAGCAGCAATGTGGGTTTTATTTCTGTTTTTTGTTGGATTTCAGATGTTGGATTTACTATTTCCTCCTCACATAAACAAGGGCAACGTTGTTTTTCTGTTTATGTGGAAATTATTATCAGGAAGTGGCCAATGTCACATGCTTGTAAAAGACGAACAATTCCTTGCAGTTATGAAATCACCTCATATCAACTAAGTTGCTGTTGTGATTCTGGATTCATTCATTATCTGTTTCCATTTGCTTTAGGATTTTTTTGAGCATTTTTAATCCTTTAAGATTGCGGCCTCAGTTGTACCTTTTGGAATAGATTTCCAAAAGCTCATTAGGTTCGTGTTGATAACCAATATTATTCTTGGTGAGTTTCACTGGGTGTAGCCTCCTGGAGTTCTGAAGTTTTGAACTGAAATGCTAAAACTAAACAAAAAGATTAGAGCAGTTTGCAAATTGAGAACTTTAGCTTATCATCTTCTGTAAGACCACGTAGATCCCATCTCTTGAAATGGAGCCATTCTGCCTGGTCATTCTCACGCTTTCTTATCGTTCAGGAATCTTTTCTACTTTTGCTATGACCAAGTCTGGTTATCTTATCAGTCCTATACGCTTTCAAGCGGAAAAATCTGTGACAGTTCTAGAAGCAGAGCCTTGTGAAATGTTTCCCCTGCTCCATTCAGTGCTTTGAAGTAGTTTTCTTTTCTGAGTAGTAAAAGTCACCATTCGTTCCTCTCTAGTGGTTACTGAATCTCAGTCCTGAGTATTTAAATGGAGGGGGAAAAAAAAGATGGAATAATTCCCTTCAGCGCGTGTTGATTTTTATTCACACATTTTAAATGTATTTTAGCATTTCAAAATGAAACGTATCCATGTGATATCATCAGTACCAGATGTCGTACGTCAAACGCGTTATCAGTTTGAGAGCACAGTAATTCTCCGTATCTATCATTGTTTCATTCAAAGAGGGTTTGCTCTTCTTTTCCAGTTTCTAAATATCAGTTCTAGCAGGTGAGATCCCAACTGTTACAAATAAAACAATATTTTAGGAAGCCTGTATTCAGATTGAAATCAGAGCTGGTTAGTTCTATGGAAAGCAGAGCTGTGTTTGCCAGCCTTCTGCGCTTTGTTTCCCGTGCACGTCTTTTCAGTAAGAATCACCTAAAATCTTTTGATTTTTTCTGATGATTTTTATTCCCCGTAAAAATTGTGATCATCTCTAATATTGAAAAATGCCCAGCTTACTCAAGTGCACAGAAAACTAACTAATCTAAAAGGGGATGTTAGTCTGCTATGGAACGTCCATTATATTCTAGTGTGTGAAGTCCACTACATTTCATTCCTTTGCAGTTTTCTTTCCTCTTGTTCATTTTCTACTTTTATTAGTTGGGTATTATTTTGCTGAAGACATTTACAGTGAGCTTCTATTTATCTATTTATTTTCTTCAGTCTGTTAGGCTTTCTTTTCTTTCTCTTTCTTCACACCTGCTGTTCACATATGCTTGCCTCTGCTCTGTTGGCTTCCCTCCCTCCCTCCCTTCCTTCCTTCCTCCCTTCCTCCCTCCCTCCCTTCCTTTCTTCCTTTCTTTCTTCCTTCCTTCCTTTTACTGAGGTGCTCAGCAATTTTTGTCCTGCATTGCTTGTTTTAGTTGTGTAACTGTCTGCATTAAATGAAGGAGAGGCCAGCCTATACAAGAGACTTGTTTGTGGCTGATGGTACTGGAGAACTTAAAAAACATTTGTTCAAGTATTGGTTGTCTGTGGTTGCTGTAGAGTTTGGAGGCCCCTGCTTATGGCAGAACTTTACAGGCCTTCTGAAGGTGAGCATACCTTCATTTCAAAAGAGAAAGGAAAACTGGCTTTGAGACATAGATATCAGTTGTGCTACTTTGCATAGAATATTCTTTCTATAAATTTGAATTATAACATTAGTAAATAACATGAACTACTGTAATGCTAGCTGAGACAGTGTGAATAATATACAGGTGGTTAGATTGTTGCAGAGTGATGAACACACATGACTAGCTGTCTCTTCCTTGAGTTTCTTCACTGCCATACTTCTTTCATCTGTCCCAGCTGAAACCTACTAGAACTCCAGAAGTGTCAGCCCAGGGCACACGTTCATGCCACTTCCTCCCCTTTTTTATAGAAGAAGAGAATAAATTTGTTTGCATATTTTAGCAAGTCAGTCATTCAGACACTACAAGTTTCCCCATTCTTTTGACAATGATTTAATATCCCTGTCATTCCTAGAGCAACAACAACAACATAGGGATATTCGGTGAGTGAAGCAAAAGAAAATCAACGGGTGGGGTTTGTGTACAGA